TCTGACCCAGTTACTTAATGTTGCAGAGCTACTGAAGTTACTTTCTTATTTAGTTCGTAACACCAACACTAACATAATAAGATCATGTTATCAATTATTATATAATGTGTTACATAGTTACTTACTTAGATATCTTAGATAGTGAGCGAGTGAGTTGGTTAGCAACACCTTTCGCTGGTTTCAACACCCATCTATTGGTGGTTTCAAAGGTTCAAACAAGCGACCCCAAACCTACATGGCGTGGGTGTAGATACCATGAAAAACATGTAGATGTCAGGTGAACAGTATGATGTATGCAACCATCCACCTATATATATATATATAATATATATATATATACATAAACGTAATATATGTATGCATGCAGTACGATGTGTAAATATAGAATTATGTCAAATGTAAACACATATAAATCATATAAAGCACCACCCAAAACTTCTGAACACATATCACATATGAAAAGTCGATTCGAATTCGCAAAACTTTGAACAATGTATAGTCATAGTACATAAGCAATAGTAAATCCTGGAATTGTTCCAACTTTGAACAAAACGTGATCCATCAACCTGTGGAAATGGAAATGGATGATCTCCAAATACTAAATTTTACTCAATCCTCCCAATACATCCCAATTAATTATCTGGAGATCATCCATTTCCAAATCTCACATCTTTTCTCCACCAATTTGATGTCCTTTTGGTAAAAATAGAGGGGCCGGGAGCTGGTATACCCTCTATCATCACCTGTTTCCATGGCTTTCTTCAAACCGCTAAAAAAAATCATCAACCAATGGGAAAAGGACATCCAAATACTAGAATATATCAACCAATTGCCATTCTTCAACCCCTCTATTCTCATCAACCAACCCATTAATCTGGAGAATATCATCCAACCATCCCCCGTTGCATATCATCCAAATACTAGAATATATCAACCAATTCATCAACCAACCAATGGGTTCTCCACATCTTTTTTGCTGCGCCTCGATTTTGATGCTGCAACTGCCCTGCATCTCCACGCTGGCGCCCGTCAGTTGCACCTCGGTAGGCACCCCGCAGAAACAAAACGCTAATCCTGTCATGACCCGGTCCTTTAAATGGGGGCTTTAAATGGGATAAAGTGGGAAGATTAGGATGTAAAATAGTATATATTTATATATAAAGGAAATATGGGAACATATGGGAATACCATCTGTAGAAATAACCATCATGGTGGAAAATAATGGGAAAATCCCTTATAAACGGGCATTGGAATGCAAACATCAATGAAAAACATCTATAAATCTATAAATGGAGGATCGGAACATATCTGAACAAATCCAAATAATGCAACCTAGAAACCGCCGCTTCCTGTCGGGAACGTCTGTGGATCAGAAGCAGGTCCTGTGGAATTCGACCACATGCGAGCACATGCGACCAGCAAACAGGGGATGTTTGATGCATCCATGTGAGGGGAGGTTCCAAACCCCGAAACCCTGAGCGCCAGAAACTCCTAACAGACCTGAGCCCCGTGGATTTGCAAAAGGCCACAGATTGAAACCGCTGATTTTAGGGGGTGGGCCTTTGGGATTGGCGTGGAACGTTCATGGATTTTTTTTTCATCTAGAACGAGTTTACATAGTCTAGAATCTAGAATTGTTGGACCCTACTATATATTGAGAATTGGGGGGGTTCTTCAAATGGGGGATCCCAAAGTAACCATGGTTTTCAATACTAAAATGGTCTAATGAATTGGATGATTCCCCACCTGCCAGGTGAGGGTTGTTAGATTTTATCAGAGCTGTTCTCTTCCTCCTCGGCTAGCTCTTCTCTTCCTCCTCCTTCTCCTCCTCTTCCTCCTCCTCCTCTCCCTTCTCCTTCTCCTCCTCATCCTCCTCCGCCTCCTCCGCCTGTTTCGCCTCGAGTGCATCAACTTCCACCTCTAATTCCGCCTTGCCAACTCTTCGCCAAGCCTCTTCGCCAAGCTCTTTGCCAACTTCCGAGCTCAGTGCGCACTGCTGGACCTCAACCTGGGACCTTCCCAGCTCAGTGTGCACTACCTCCCCAGCTCAGTGTGCACCGCTGGACCTCAACCTGGGACCTGCCCAGCTCAGTGTGCACCGCTGGACCTCAACCTGGGACCTGCCCAGCTCAGTGTGCACCGCTGGACCTCAACGGCGGGATAGAATGCCAGAAGATATGCCAGATAGAATGTCAAATAGAATGCCAGAAGATATGCCAGAGAGAACGCCAGAAGATTTGCCAGAGGGAATGCCAAATAAGATGTCAAATAGAATGCCAGAAGATATGCCAGATAGAATGCCAGAAGATGTGCCAGATAAAATGCCAGAAGATATGCCAGATAGAATGCAAGATAGAATGCAAGATAGAATGCCAGGAGATATGTCAGATAGAATGCCAGAAGATTTGCCAGTAACAAAATGGATAAATGTCATGGTGGGGATCACACGAAGTAAAGTAATTTTGGGGAATACCCCACTTTAGGAAACCTCCAAGTGTTTTCTGGTGATAGTTATTGAGGTTCACCAGGCCCACAGTGGGATACAGCCACCGACCCCTGGCAGCAAGTGGGTCCCCATGAAGCTTTGCAGAAGCACGCGAAGGCCAGAAATTTCCACCAAGTCGATATGTGATTTCCTGAGGCATCCATGAATTTCCAAGGCCGGAAACCCAAGTGGCTAAACAACAAGAACCAAACACAGTCCAGCATACGGAAAACATTAGGTACTGCAATCCATTCCGAGATCAAAGTCATTTATATAAATGGTGTGCAAAACATGAAGAGAACACAAAAGTGGATCTATTCTATACCAAAAGTCTCAACGGTCCGCATGGCAACTTTACATTTGGGTGATTGATCGTCTCTTCATTACATTTACACATTTATACATGACGCCGAGGATGTTGTTGACGATAACATCTGTTCTGAAAATCTAGCAAAACAGCTCCCAACGCACCACAGAAGCCGCACCACCAACTGAGCAGCAGTCAAAACATCTGACCATCCAAAACCCTCATCTCCAAGCTACTGGCACTGGTTGTTCCCATTGTTTGATGTTGTTGCAGTTTGGTCATCTCTATTGGGGCTGGGACCAATGAAGAAAACCCCCACTTGACCGTCGCCGAGCTTCACCACAAATTGCCTCTCGCGGTGATATGGCAGCGCTGAGATCATCTATCGAAGCCGGGGGAATGGCCAAAGGGGGCACCGCTCGCGCCATGACCGCGGAAACGGCGAGCAAAAGCCGTCCCTTGGGGCCCGCTTTTTTAAGGGCAACGGCTGAGGGTGCCGCCCAGGTGAAGATCATGGGGCTACCAACTGCATGACCCACATGCAACAAACATATCTGAACATCTGTTGTAATTCAAACATCTATCAAACTGTAGATCAGCAGTAATCTGCTGGTGGTGAAAACCATTGAAAGTTAAGAGAAGAAAACAAGCAACATGAATTACATGAACATGGTGTTTCTTAACCTTCTGTCGCATCCAAGCTTGGAGGCGGCCAGGCTCCACAACCAACCAGCAAGGGGCACGCTGCATGATACATCCTGTACTTGTATTCCGGATCATTCCTGCCAACACTCTCGAGATGGCATGAGATGGCACAAGGCTGCCAAGGCTGCCCAGAGTTGCTGAAGCTTGGTGATGAAGTTTCATGGCCATGGCTTGAAATTACAAACAATCGCAGCGTAACTGTATAACCAGAACATGGGATGGCTTACCACCCAAAATCACTGCATTCACTAACATTTGTGGGCCTTGAATTGTGACGCCTACCGCCTACCCAAGTAATATAATTTCAAACCCACTTTCCAAATCCATGGCATCTTGTTCCTCAACAGAGACCGAAGCAACCACCCCCTGACCAAGTCTATCTCGAGCAAGTTGACATGCATAGCCTAGTAGAGGATAGAGGGAAAGCTGCACATCAGCAGAATAAAATCAACAGTTTGTCTGAAAATAGGATATCCCCAAATCAACTGGTTATATAATCAGCAGTTTCCAACATATGGTTTTGACGGAATACCCAATCTCCAGAGACACCCGACGTGCCCCGCTCCCATCTTCAATCAATTACTAACATAGATAGACCCATAGAACTGGCCATATTTAGAGAACAAGTTGCCTTTCAGCCCCCAACTCATGCAAGTGGTGTCCGATGGCTTGGCTAAGTTGGTTTAGAACTATCTTAATCTTACCTATGGTCGGGAGATATATCTATATACTATATTCTATATCATCTATATTCGTTAAGGAAGCTATAAACCAACAAGCACAACAATCACAACTGACTGGCGTGGCATGATGGTCATGTGAGTTGGGGGGTGGTACCCTCTTGTAAAGTAACACATAGCTATGGAAATATTGGAAAACGGATGAACATGGCCCGCTTATAGAGTATTTACGGATTCAAAATGGTGCTTTCCATAACTATGTTAAACTATCAAAGGTTATATGTTCAATGATCCATGGAGTGATCTGTGGTGCAGCTTGTGCTCTTCCCCCAAGCAGCTCCTTGTGAGCTGTCCAAGTTTGGGATTCATCGTCTCCTGGGACGTTGGCATCGAAACCGCTTGGTGGATGGCATGGTTTCAAATTTATCCGAAGTATCTCAAATTATCAATGTTTGTTCAATGCACATGTATCATAGATATACATATATATATATATTAACTAATAAAAGTTCAAAACTGTGAGACTGAGTGTATATGCAAATGCATGCATCCATAGTAATCCTACAGTACGATTCCACACGCACAGATACATCGATATCATTACATTACGTTCTCTCATAATTTTCACGTAGGATGAAAACTTGAGACGGTCCCCTGCAGCTACACATGCAAGCATCTTACGGATGATGAAGGTCACTATAATCATATACTTGGGGGTGCAGTTCAAATTATGATATATTATCATTATGATAGTTAAGTGGTTGTATAACGATACCCTCAGGGGTTATATCCAAACTAATGGCGGATATCACAATGGTTCTATCGTCATTAATCCAATATACCGATATATCAATTTTGCAAGAAATATAGACCTGACAGCACCCTCAATTGGCTCACATTGTCTAACACGGCCAGCCGAGCTACTGCAATGATGCTGGCAGACATGGAATACTTCACCTGGCCCGGCTGGAAATGGATCGAAAATGGAAACCATGATTTAAACAAATCCAGATGATGGATACCATCTGTTAAAATAACATAACTATGGAACATCACCATTTTTAATGGGAAAACTCACTATAAATGGCAATTTTCAATAGCTGTGCTAAATTACCAGAAGGTAATTTGAGAGAAACATAGTGGAAAGCATTTCATGGAAACATTTGCTGGGAAATCAAAGTATACATCAAATTAGAATGTTAAACCATAGGCCATAGTTTCTATCAAATGATTCCCAACCATTGTGGAACACATAATGAGACTGCAGTTTGCCTTGACATCATCAAATCAAATCAGAGCCGCCACGTGAACGGCTTGACCGAAATCAAGATGATGCTAATCTAACTGAATTTCACCAGATATTAATTGATCTAACCAGATATAACCCAACAAAGTCACATGGTCTCCAAAGAATGCCCATATCTCTGAGATCATGAAACATCTTGACCCCTCGGATCCGATGCTCCCCGATGCTCCCCGATGCTCCCGCTCCCCGCGCGTCGAAGACATAGGCAGGCTTGTCCAAGTCTTTGTCCTGGTGGATCTTGTGGATTCAACACATCGCCAAATGTGCAAGGGTCAAGAGATGGCGTTTTTCTAAATGTATATGTTTTGGCAACTAAATGGTTTCTGGTTATATTGGTTATCCATGGTTATCCATCCCATGAAATGTGAATCCAAAGACATATGGGGGCTTATGATCCCTATCAATAGATTGACGATGGATAATAGTTACATATGGATAAATAAGTTGAAAGTTGTTGACATATATATAGTTAAATAGTTGATGTGAGTTGCCTCTGGCCAAATACAATCATCACGCAATAATGGGGACATATTCGGCAAACACCTGGCAGGTTTATCTTTCGCCCAAGATCATAGGAAAAAATCGCACCTGAAAGCCAGGCTAGAGAACCAACAAATCTGTAGCAAACCCTAAATGACCCACGAAAACTTACCATCGGTTGGTTGATCCAAATGAACTGCTGGGATTTCAAGCATCGAGAAATTCTCAATGTATCTCAATGTAATGACAGTCTGATGCATGATACTGTCGACATATTTCCACATTTCCAGATTCAATCCCCACTTTTGTGGAAATTGTTAAGGGTTACGCTTACTTGATATAACCATAGGGGCCTTTATCAATCGTTTGGATTTTCCCCATCAAACTGGCCATTCATTTGGACACCTTCGCACTTCGCCCGGCAGGAAACTTGGAAACTTCGCTTCTCTCTAAACTGGGCCCAGGACCGCTTTGTTGGTTGGCAGCTGCTTCATTAAGCCCATACCTGAGTCTGACTTCATGACACAGGCTTAATGATCTTAATGAAGCATTTTCAGCAACAGTGTCCAGTGTCCTACGATCACTTGATAGTGTGGTTGGGGAACTCAATTCATGGCTCCTTGGCTCCCCATTTTTGGTTTGGAATATGCACATGGCTGGCTCGTTAGCACCCGCCTAACCACTAGATAGTATAGGGCTGATTTTTAAGACCCAATTTTGAATATCTTATGGTAACATGGCACGGGTCGTGTATTGTTGGGTTTGCCAGCACGACCATTCTCTAGGATATATGATATATGGTTCTACAGTTGACTGGACGCCCCACTTTCTGCCAGTCTTCTGGGCTTATCAACTGGTTGCTCCGCCAACGAGCCCGCAAATGAGCAACCACGGCTGAGTGCCCCACTTCGCATCCGGTAGAACTCGTTGGGGTAATCCTGGCCGGAAAATTTTGCGCCTATTGGAGTCAATCATTGATTCTTGGACTTGTAAAAATACACCAAGTTAAAGTTGAACCACCCGAAATCATAGGGACACCATCTGGTATAATTAATAAATATTAATAAGACTGAGTATTTTGCAGTTGCAAACGGAAGGGAGGTCAAGCTGGAAATACAGTCCCTAGTCCCTGGTCATGACAGTATACTCAGTAATTCCTTCCCACTCTATATCAGTCACGGTCGCCCGTGCTCCCCCCTATCCCGCTGGTAGTCACCGGTAGTCTGATATGTCTACCGGAGCTGCACGATCTTACAGTCTCAAATCCACGGGGTGCCTGTCCACCGAAATCACTCAAAAACAAAGTTACCTCTGAGGCCATGGATGGCCATGGGCCATGAATTTTCCACAAGGATCTTTGGTTGGCCAACTTGCTTCTCACATCTGAGTCATGGATGTCTTTCATTGTCTTTTTTCCTATCCATGCCCCCCATCCCATATTCTTTCCGCTTTGTTCAGAAAAAACCTGCAACCCTCTGAGCCAAACCCCGACATGCAGATACTTCTGGCCCAAGACGAAGCCGTGCGACCTGTCGATGCAAGGTGGGAACACCAGCCATGGATTGGATTTTTAAGTTGGGGATCCAGAAAAAATGTGGATTTAACATAATTTAACATGATTTGACCATCCAAAATTGGGGATACAATGGGGATATAGTGGGTATATAACCAAAGATGATCTGAAGAATGTCGGAAAGTCAATGGAGATTATCGTGCCATAGTTGAAACCACGATTTTGCATAGGTTTCTGAAGAACTTCTATGTGGATACAAAATCTGTGTGAGGACCAGGCCTGGTGGCAACTTCACTGAGTGACTGTCTTTGGCAAGGTTGCCTTGTGGTGTCCTTGACGTCTACATCTTGATGCAATCCCGAGGTCACAAAATGCCTTGCACTCATTTCAGTGGCCCCACCATGCCATCTTCCCCGATCACTGGTTTGATGGAAAACACGAAGCCGGGCGGATATTGAACATGTTTAAACTGTAGTTTCTGGATTCCTTCCCGTGGACTTCCAAACACCTTCAGAAATTTGAACATATTTGAATCCTCCAAACCTACCCAAATCACCTTCTCGGCAGGTGTTGGGGTGCTACTACTAGTGCAGTCTCAATAATATGGAAACACCGATGATACTCGCTTGGCTTCCACACCCAATGCCCGTGGAGAAGGTTGTAAAGTTAGCAGCGTTCATGCCTGAGCCACCCAAGCAGCTAGGAACACCATCCGCTTCAACAAATACATACATATGTATTTATATATATATATACATAAACACCTATGTATATACATATGTGTATATATATATGTGGTTTAGAAATGTTTGTAAACGTGTTAAATAAGATTATTTATGTATGATGTATTATATATATATGTATATATGCATGTGTATATATATATGTGTGTGTGTGGTACCCCCCCAAGACCTACCTTTCAAGCAAATTTAGTGGTATTTACAGTGTTTTTCTTAACATTTTGAACTCTAAAACTTAGAGCATTTTTTGTTGCAAGTTTGTCCCCATCCCACCCTTCCCTAAGTACATCGGATTCAAGATTCAAGATGTAGGATTCAAGATTCAAGATTCAAAATCCAAAAAGACTTCTTGAACCCAAGGGGGTCGGATTCAAGATTCAAGATCCCAAAAAAACTTCTTGAATCCCAAGGCCTTCAGCCTTGAATCTTGAATCTTGAATCCAAAGAGGTTTGGATTGAAAAAGTTTTTTCTCAGCCTTGAGTCTTGAATCTTAAATCCAAAGAGGTTGGATTGAAGAGTTTTTTTTTTCTGAGCCTTGAATTATCTTGAATCCAAAGAGGTTGGATTGGAAGAAGTTTTTTCTGAGCTTTGAATCTTGAATCTTGAATCCAGATACTTAAAATCATATGCGTCACCAGAAATTGCAATTTCTTGCAAATGATCGGCCTGTCTGCTAAGGACATTCCTCAAATAAACTAGTTTATCCTGTAAAAGAAAATTCTAAAAAGCCCGTTATTAAAGAACAAATGTCTTCGCTTTCCAAGCAAATCAATCAACTTTGGCAAAAATAAGAGAAACAATTTAAAAATGCAACCAAGGTAATTAGATTCATCATAATAAAGCAAAAACAATTGAAAAAGAACCTTCTGCAATCTTAAGCAGTAATTTCTTTAACAAACACGAAGAAACGAATAAACAATAATAAGTAAAAATACATGAGCTCATCCGATAGCAATACCTCTTTAACTTTATCTACAGATCAATAAAAACCTTCCCAACAAAATGTATTAGAAAGGGTTGCGGATAGATCGGCAAAGAAAAAATCTTAAAAAACAGTGTTGCAATTTAGGGCTAGAAACAAGGTAATAGACAATAAAAAACCCTGAAATGCTATCAAAGTTCACATCACAAAATTGCAGAACATTATCATTAAACAATACAAACAAATCAATCTGAAAAAAAAACACACATATATATATATATTCAAGAAAAACAAAAAATAATTTGATTATCGTAAAATTAGATCCTCAGAATCAGCGCTGAAATAAACAATAAAGATATAGGATTTTTCCAAGTAAAAATACATATTCACCCAATGCTAGAAACCCATAAAATACACATATTAAACAAACAAAACAAAATAAAAAGCTATAAAAAAGTAAGACAGCTTATAATATGACAAATATATGAAAAAACTGATCTAGATTTTGTTTGTTGTTACTTATTATTGTATTATCATCAAACTCAATTATGTTTAACAAATAATGTCTAACTCAAGCACTCCTGGATTTAAAGCAATGACATTACAAGATCATTTACATTATACAGATTTTTTTTAACAGCAAAAAAAACAACTCTTCTACAAGCAAAAATTTTGTAGATGCTCAAGAAAAAGCTAATGGAAAATAACGTAGATTCACAAGAACACATAAGACAATTAACATAAAATGAGAATATGATTGGTTATTGTCAGTTTGTTATGCAAAGCTGGATGGAATGTTATGAATTTGTGGGAGGATTAACCAGATAATTGCATTATAAAATCAAAATGCCTAAAAAAATATAAGTGGAGATCAGTTTTATACATATCTATTGCACTTTTCTACACCTTTGTTATCTGCAAATTCTTACGTAAATAAACGTGTAAAATCTCAAGATGCACAAACTATATCATCTAATCTTGCACAAAGCTCAGCCTTGGTAGAAGCTAAAGGATTCAAATTGCTACAGAAAAGTTAGTAAACATGAATTCCACCAGTTGTCATTACAAAAAAAATACCTTACAACCAGTTGTATTCTTTAAAAAAAATATAGAAAATAATATGCGATACCCTGTTGTAAAGACAAAAAACAAAATGTCAATCCAGCTATTCCCCTATTGAAATTCATATTGCTGCAAATCCTAAAGGTTACGTAAAAAATAGCAAATGCGGTAGAAAATATTGACAAAGCAGAGTTGCAAGAATCAGATCATAGATATGAAATTTGTGTTGATATATTAAAAACATTAAAAAAAAACATTAAATATAATGAAATAAATATATAAAATATATATGTTACAGTGCTATGCTGCAGCTACATACTGTATGTGGGCAGGATGTGTCCAGGCGCATGCGCCCAAGATACTTTCCTGATGCAGTGCTACAATAGGTGATGCATTCAAGGACATATCTGATACACAAAATGTAGGCCTCGGGAGGGGTTTATATACATACTATATATCATATCGTATCATATGATATTATATTATATTATATGGGGGGAACACATGTTCTGAGTTCCAATCCTATTTTTGGCAGTGGTTTCTGATTCCTTGTTGGTTTTCAAGGACTCCGAGTGATCATGAATCCTCATGCCAAATGCCGGGGTTCTTCTGGTGCAATCGGAATATATCGGAATGCTGATGAATCTTGAATATGAGAAACAAATAGAAACAACCTGTAATATAGGAAACCCAATAATAAACCTTGATATAACTATACCACCCAATGATATATATATATATATGCGTATATATATATAGAGTGATTTTGGGAATCGTTTATTAATTGAATTTGCCACATTACGGTGCATAATGAAACAAAATGATGCAACAAAAAAAAGTCAGTCACTGCCAGTCCCCTCTCCGCACCATGTTTTTTTGTTCACTTTTTCTCATCATGTGCTCAACAGCACGCATCATCACGCACTGAAAAGCAGTGCTCAATAATGGTCAAAATGGTGACTCCCTTCATTAAGCGATTATCTCAGCTTCTCTCAGCGGATTGGTTTGCCTATATTATAGGCAAATCCCCAAGCCATTGAAACAAAACAGAACATCTGCGCCATTGAAGGGCTCGGCATTGAGAACACCTCTCAATGAGAAAATTGGCCTCCCATTTCAGGAGCCAGGCCTCAGCAGCGTTGAAACACTGCCATAAAATCAACGCAACGTGCCATCTGCTGCGTCCAGCGCACCAAGAAATGGACTGTGCCGTCGGCGCGCTGGGGCGCATCAGGACAAAACAAACCGGAGGATTCTCAATTGAGAGAACCTCCCAACGAGCTACGACTACTGTTTTAACATCGGGGTGAAGCGCGAAAGTGTGGTGAGAACATGGACTTCAGGACTTCAACCCCGAGATGCTTGAGAGCTACATGGATTGTTGACTCCGAGGTCTGTGGCTGAAAATGTGTATGTAGCACAAAGAAAACCGGCAGTTTGGAATCAAATCTGCTTTCGACATATTGCTGCTGGTTGATGGTGAAACCACCCCTCGAAGAAAGGATCCCAGGTAATCAGGTATATGAACTAATGGACTATACTTGAAACACCAAGTATCTCTTGCCTAAATCAACCATTCTTATTCAAACAAATGCCAATTCATGTTTGTCATGTAGTCATGTAATTAGTCATGTAATTAGTCATGTTGTCATGTAATTATATATTAAACAAAAATATTAAATAGTCATACTGTATATAGTTCAATTCCTCAGGGTTTCAATTTCAAGTACAGCATCCCATAGTAAAGATATGTGACAGCAGTATACAATATATATATATAGCCAGTAAACATAACCCATAGAAGCAAACAACAACGTGTACAAATAGATAGATCGGAGTAGAGTAGATGTACAACCCATCAAAAAAAGAAACATGATCCGATTGAAAGAAATCATACATCACCCCACCCTGCACCCCGTGCGTTGCGCAGGGCTCAGGGGGCCGCGCAGCAGAACCAGCCATGGCTTTGAGGCGCTTGGGGTTCCTCCAGTTCCACATTGGCCACATCCGCAAAGGCGCCCGGCCCAGCCTGGATTGAGACCATCCACTTTGAGGATCTCGTGCCTATTTCGCTTGGGTAATTTTCCATATATTGCCCTTGGGATATGGAATTGACATGGACAGTAAGCCCAGCACCCTCATGTCAGATATGTCAGATCATTTCGCCTCAAAGGCTCCCAATTCATGACTAACTAAGTCCAACACTATAGTTCCACCAGCGTTTCATGTGTGGGGTATCTGAACGAAATACAAGCTCAGTATTAGGAGGCCATTCATACATGGATATATCAGCGAGGTGAGAAACCGGACCACTTTGGGGACAGCTGCAATGGAAGCTGAATTTTGTCCTTTACCGGGATGCTCTTGCCTTGGGAACGGATGTTTTCCCTCTCGTACTTCACTTTCATGAAATGAGGGCGGACCTCACCCCCAACACCTTCAGTATCTTGGCACACTCTCACTCTAACAGACTCTAACATTTTGGATTGCCAGAAAACCTTCCAGGAAGCATCTTGGCACATTCTACAGTAACATCTCAAAATTGCAACTGGGAGGATTCTCCCCAACATTTCCTTTGTTCCAGCTGCACCTCCGTGTTTGGCGTCAACTCTGCATCCTTGACCTCCTCGACATCTGTGGAAAGTGAGTTCACACCCAACGGCATCCTTGGAACATGCAGGGGTTGGGATTATGATCCCCAGAAATCTAGGAGATATCCGGTTTCAACATGTTTCAAGCCATCCTGAAACACTTTGTCGCCTGATGTCAATTTGGATCCTGGCTTGGGCTGGGCACCCAACCTTCGAGACTTTTGTGCAAGTGGTGTTTTGACTATCCAGAGCAGGTTTGCCCACAAGTTGATGTGGGTCATCCAATCTGAGATTCCATGCATTGCTTTGAAAACAGCAATGCGTTATATAAGTTATATAAATTATATACTACAACACCAGGATGAAAGTTGTTCCTCTGGACTAGCTGCTGCTACCCTCTCCCGCCTCTCTCTCCTTAGATTCCTGATAGATTTCATATCATAATATGAATCACATGGCGGATCGCGGATCAGCTGGTTTGCTTCAAAAGTATTTTAATTCATTCCGACTTGAAATACGAGCCGCCATGCAGGCCACGCGAAATGAGGATCATTGATCCGCGGCTGAGGGTGATGTTTATAAGACGCAACCATTTTATTCGTCCTGATACACTATATCTAATTATAGTTCAAAGAAATCACTAAAACTCCAAGACCAAGGTCTACTTTCATCATTTTAACACCACCAAGGCCCCCAAGGCCAACCGCCGCCGCTTCCGCACAGGATCTTCGGTGCTTCGTCCAAGGCTTCGTTCCGCGGCGGGGGATTGCTGGCGCCACTGCGGCTGATGCCAGAGCTGCTGAGAGCCATCCAGGACTTGATCCTATGGAAAAACATGGAGAATCCATGGGAGATTGCTATGGTTTTATGAATGTGTGTTGTTCATATTGATACTGAGCTGCTATGGACAAGCTGAAGCAAGAACTTTTCTGATTTTGGGATGTAAATATTGAAAAATACATGCTGATGCCATGGAAAATGATACAGAGAATTGACATGTTCATTCTGATTTCCAACTGATATTCAAACATGAATGGTAGATTCATTGAATGGCAGGTTCTCTTACAGAATCAATGGAATACATTGATGTGTCCATGGTCATTGGAGAATCAATGGACATTTGTTATGGTTCATGATTAATATTGATTCATATAACATTACTGGAAGGTAAATAATCATAGTTCGAATGAATCTACTGTATATATGTATATATGTATATATATGTTAATGTACTATTCATTAATCAAAATAACGGTTGATTTCCCCAATCATAAATGAATATAAATATATATATATAATATGTGCATATATATATATATATATAATATGTGTATATATATATACACATGTGGAATACATTCGTGACTCTTCCCATTGACACGTGATTTTTTAATGAGTTTTGTTTTGTCCACGTTTTCTTTACAGTTCTGAAAATTATTGTGTTTCCTTCCCTCTGATTGCATGGCTGGAAGTATACGTGCATGTGGGTGTCTCTGAAAAGGGTAAACCTTCGAATTGCTATTATAGTGGGAAAATGATGGTGAAGCATGAATGGGGCTACATCTCAGGAATCGTAATATACTAAAATATAATATGATAAAAAAAACATAGTATATAATATAATAGAATATATATATATAATATATATATTTCAATTATGTAATATGGTATTATATGATGAAACACAATGTAATATAATATGTGATCCCAGGGAAGCTTCCCCAATCTGCGGCCTGCCTCTGTGGATCATCCTGCGCCAAGGGGAAGTAGAAAGGAATGCTGCGCTCCTTCCGTGTGCCTGGAGCATACGAAACCTCTTGGGGCTATGGATGGCCCTGGTCAGCCTAGCATGAGTCTGGCGGTCACAAGTCATATGGCACGTATGGCACATGTAAATAAAGCTTGAATAATGAATACATATATACTGTAATTTATAGGTATGTACTGTACTGTAATGAGATGTGATGTAATTGATGTGATGTGATGCAGTGTAATATAATGTAAATTTACTTGTAATGTATGTATGTCTTTCAGTCTCTGTCTGTCTTCGTCTGTCTCGGCCTGTCTGTGTATGTTTCTGTCTGTCCCTGTCTGCATGTATGCATACATGCATGCATGCCTGTATGTACAGTACATAATTAGTTATTATGTATAGATACACGCGATTATGCGTGTGATGTATGTGAGTGTGTCTGCCCAGCTATGGATATTCTCTCTGCCACCCCTACTCTGCTCACCCCTGCTGCAAATGCATACATGTTGAGAACTGAACGTGGAGATGTAGAGATCTTGATGTGCAAAATCTTGAGGCCAGATTGGTCTTGCGGCGCTTTTAAGAGCGGGATTTTTCATGAATTTTCAAGATTCTGCTGATGCATTATCGCATCTATTGCGCGTTCATGTTCTGGATATTCAGCCACCAAATACCTACAGTGTAGGTCAATACCTCTTACAACTGGGTTGTTCCACCCCATTCACATGGGAGATACCCCTGATACTTGGGTTGATAATCTCATGCCTGGCACTTGGGGGCCACTTACCTTCTAGGCTACCCCACCTTGCCTCCAAGGCTAGCTGGGAACATGCTGGGAGGCCCGATGGCGCGCAAAATCTTCTGCGCATCCGCGCTGGTGGCAGAAGAAAACGTCTTGATGCGATTGGACCTGAAAGTCCGTCCAGCCAAAAAAATATCCCAGCTTCTGAGCTGTTCAATACACAATACATACAACCTATAATATATATATATAATGCAGAATCTTTACATAACTGACTTATTTGTTTATCAAATTATCACCTTGCTGGAATGCCCAAGTAGGACCCCACCATCACTTCAGTCGCACCACTTTGCTGCTCAGCGGCTGTCGTTTCGACATGATGGTGGTGGCAAAGGCCAGGACCAGGCGGACGATGAAGGGAGCATTGAGCATCAGAATCAGAATGTCTTGATCGCAATACATCTCCATCATCTGTTTTCCATTCTCTTGCGCGAACCTGACCAAAAAAGAGAAGCCAAGAATACACTGCAAAAAAGAGGGAAGAACATGGAAGATGCGACAATCACTTCTGTGGAAAGGAAATAGTGGGTTAGAGCCAAACCCAAACAAACACACTGGGTCAACTGCATTGAATTGCCGAGGAAAAACAACTCAGAGGTCGAAACAAAGCATGTGACATATAGCGAAGCATCGGGGCATAACTCTTAGCAATCCACAATGATTTACCAGGTGACCACTGCTCACACTGTTTCATCTCAATCTGAACTTTTCCAATTTGTCTTTCTTCAGCATAGGCAGAGCCATCAACAAACAGCCATCAACAACCACAACAGTGATACTAGTAGCCAATATGTATAACTAAACCATATACAAAGTAGCCAATCTACGAATAAACCATATACAAATCGCAAAGGCCGATTAAAACAACAAACAACTGTTGCATTACTATATAGACAACCCAGAAGCAATCCACTTAAATCCACTTACCCTCTGGTAAACTAACATAACTATGGAAAATCACCATTTTCAATGGGTAAATCCACTATAAATGGCCATTTTCAATAGCTATATGTTCTAGTTTACCAGAGGGTACCATGGTTGCTTTACGTCCACGGTATCGTCCACGGGACTTCCGAATCTCCGGCACGAAGATGGGTAGCGTCTCCCGCCCCAGATTGGTCAGATCAATCCTCGCCAACTTCAAATGTGGGTGATTTTGCTACGGTTACCCAGATGGAAAATCAATCATCTAGAAGTATTGCATATAATGGGCATTGATATCATTGATTGTATGATCATCACTAAGGCTCTGGATATTAATCAAATTTACGCATATATATATATAACATGACATGACATGACATCTCGGACCGATGTCAGGAGAAAAAACAAAAGCACATGTAATTAACCACTGGATAGTCATGATTCTTAAACAAGGGCGGTTGGGATATCAAATCGGAAACTAATCAATATTATGATCGTTTGGGATACGATGTATGAACAACTAATTAATGCACTGGGTATTTGGGCCATTTGGACCTAGTTGGTTCAGGTTGGCGACCGTTCTAAGAGAATGTCTTGGATGCGTTAATTGGGATGAAGTCAGCCCACTGTGAAAAATGGATCTGGACCCAACGTGGGATTTTTATTCAATGGGAAATTCAGGATCCTAAAATGGAGGTACTAAGGCAATATTTAGTGGGGATAGTCCCTAAAAAATAGGCCTTATAGCCTTATATATGATAGGTAATCAATAATTTCTTTGGAGATGATCTACAAGTAGCAGGATCTCCACATTAAATTGCTTTACAGGAGCGAATTATACAATTAATTACTCTCTCTCTATATCAAACCAGCCCACACAGATGTTTGAAGAGGCACGTGATTTCACGTTCGAGGCTTGGGAAGCAAGAGCAATGTGCAATGGATATCCGTCATCGCGATGAAGTGGGTATGTATGGCCCAGAATTATTGACCACAAGAATTGAATGGCGAATACGGTATATTAATTGCTTGATGCGGGTCTATTGGTGCCATTCTCAAGCCACCCCAAATAATCATGTCGCTTTGCTACTTCCAGAAACTAGTCTAGACATGTACGGCAAACTTGTTGGAACTTTAGGACAACATATCTCAGGGAGTTGACCTTCAATGCTGGAATCCCAGGCCTCACACGCCAAGGAACACCTTGATGGCATATAGCATCTGCTTTCGTTCATAGGAATTGTCATCAAGGAGTTTCATCATGTATTCCTTGCGTCATCTGCACAGTCCCCAACTGAAAATCAATGCACCAGGATGTATCACGGTGGGAAAACAAACCTGGAATGTAAATCATCATCAGAACCTTAAGAAAGCACATGGGCATTTTTTCTGCCACTTCAAAAAAAAACACGGGTACCTGGTGATGTTGACGCACAAGTTTCCACACCAAAACATTGTTGTATTCCACAACCGTGTGTTTTTCTATAGGAAAATCATGGGAACCCAATCCCAAAGATAGAACATGGTGGAATAAAACCACTGCCAAAATATGAGCTAAACCCAATCGAGGTTGCGGTTGGGTTTACCACATTGCATCTGTGTTTTACTGCTTAACCATCTTTTGTTTTGGATTAATTAATCGGTCTAAGTAATCCTCATTTGGTTGGTTAAACTGCCAGTATGTTCCAAAATGTTTAGCTGCCAATCACACACACAAACAAATCATATATATATATATATGTACACATTGCAATTCATAAGTATATTCATATTGAACATATATATATAAATATATATATATATTCATAAGTACCACTATATTTACATATTATACATTAAATAAATATGTATATATACATATATATATATATATGCATCCTGCCTTTAGATATCATTATAATTGTGTAAACAAATAAATTTCATGATATTATGTTATATGTATACAACCAGCTATACTTGAAATCAAATTCTCAAACAATAAATCAACATACGTATGTATATATATATATCTATTACATGTGAGCTGAGGACATGACATGTATCACTATATGCATCACTATATATCAAATTATTTTTTTGAGCTTCCATAAATCAACCATTATACCGATGTATGCATCACTATGAACAAATCAAAACAATATAATCCATATATATAAATAAACAAACATCTATAAATCTAAAAATATCTTGTATCCTAAATATCTGATCATTAAAAATCACTACTATCATTCCTACATATAATAAAAGCCGCCAAAGATCCATTCCCGTGCGCATCAGCTGCAGATCATTGTCCATGGTATGACAGGCAGGGCGCCTTGGGTTTCCGACGACTTTTCGAGGTGGGTTTCATGGCTTCGATTCATGGGATTTTGGTGGGATTTTCGTGTGATTTTCATGTGGTATTCATGGGATTATCATGGAATTTCAATAGGATTTAATGGCATGGCATTTCTGAATAAAACCTGATTTATCCTCGGATTCTAATGGCATTTTCTGGTGCTTATCGTAGTGATTTAAGCAACAGGATGGGTATATTTTTCTGGGATTTACGCTCCAATCATTAAACATATGGAAGTGGCCCATGGAGTTGGAATCTGGTCACATCGTTGGTGCCATGCGATGAGTTTCAAGAACATATCATCGCACATAAAACATCATTCAGGATGTGAAAGCTCTGAATGATACATGAAAATAATAATAATAATAAGAATAATAATTGTAATGATAATACTAATAATATTACTACTAATAAACAATATAACATATAATATATATAATGTAAAATTATAAACTCATAAATAATAATTGTAGATAATAAAAAATATAAAATATAGTAAATGATAAATAAAATATATAATATAAAAACACATATAACATATAATATATCTAATAAAATATATAATTAATAATTATATTTTATGATATTATATACAATTATATGCTTATATTTGGCTCTGCTCCCCTTTCTTGGGTTTCCCTTTTCTGTTGACCACACCACCAAGTCACTGTTTCACGAACTCGTAAGCCTGGCTCTGCGAGTTGATTCACGTGGTGGTGCCCCCGACCCTTTCCATCGTTAGGAAATGGACGTATGTAAGTGGGTCAACATGGATGTATCATGATTTATCTGGTCGTATATATGTGTATACATGTATATATATATATGTAATCATATCCATAAAATTAGCCGGGTTTATCAAACAACAGATTAAGTGGAGAACAACAGCTTGTAGAAGTGGTTCAAGCTGCTATGGCTGAAACCCTGGAAAATGTCCAGCTCAAGGTCCCTCATTGGATGTCAAGGCAATCGCCTCCAGTAGGTTACCTGGCCCCTTTTCAGGACCCCCCTGCCACTCTCGGCATGAAATATGTATGACACATGTATGTATACGGTGCTCACCTTAAAACAACCGGATGATTTGTGTTTTTATCCGTGGAGTTCCTGGCCCGCCTAGCATTTAAACAGCCGGAAAATGCCGAAAGCATACAGGAAGACATACGGATCTGATTCACCATTTATATATGCATATATAAATAAAAACGTTTATATACATAGTCAAATGTATGATCACCTGGGGTGCTTGAGCTGCCAGCTAAGGAAATAGCAGGATCAGTCAGATGTATGTGTGCAAAAAACATATGTTGTGCATAAATGCCATTCAATCAATACAAATGATCTTATATGAGAGTAGATATATAACATCTTTAGCAAAGGGAAATACACATATATATATATATATACTGATATATATATAAATATAATATATGTAGCATTATATTGGATATATCAACTCAACAAATCTTGAATTTGCTTAATGCTTAAGGAACACTCTAAAAACAAACAATATTCCCAATACAAATAGCGGATTTTCTATTGGGAGAATAAACCAAAACATCTTCAGCAGCTGTAATAAAATAATCTTCAAACTACCAGCTACATGTAAACGATAATTTAGTAAACTATACAACACTTTTGTATTTATATATCTGTATATGTATTATTTATTACTTGTATATATTATAGATATGGGCGGGTCTTAAAATGGTGGACCTCCAAAATGCTTCTATTATGGTTCTGTTGACTGGAACACAATAACCCCCTATTGGGCTAGCCAATTACAAGACAAACCCATATAGCAAACGATATACCAACTACCCTCTGGTAAACTAACATAGCTATTGAAAAAGCAATGAAATAATCATTGATTTACCCATTAACAAAATGTGATGTCCCATAAATTAGTCGTGTAAGTTTCCTAGAGGGTATTGACAATGATTAATCAACAATAAACAATACTATTAACGACCCACCGAAGGAAGCTTAGAATAGCAAGGTTTTCAAGCTTGCAGATAGACAGGTAGATAGACAGACAGAAAGACAGACAGATAGATAGATAGACAGATAGATGGATAGATGGATAGATGGATAGATGGATAGATGGATAGATGGATAGATGGACGGATAGATGGATGGATAGATGGATAAATAGATAGATAGATAGAAAGATAGATAGATGGATGGATGGATAGATAGATGGATGGATAGATAGATAGATGGATAAATAGATGGATAGTTAGATAGTTAGATAGTTAGATAAACAGATGAGAGAGAGAGAGAGAGAGAGATAGATCGATAGATATATGGATAGATAGATAGATAGATAGATAGATAGATAGATAGATAGATGGATAGATGGATAGATGGATAGATGGATAGACGGATAGATGGATAGATGGACGGATAGATGGATGGATAGATGGATAAATAGATAGATAGATAGATAGAAAGATAGATAGATGGATGGATGGATAGATAGATAGATGGATGGATAGATAGATAGATGGATAAATAGATGGATAGTTAGATAGTTAGATAGTTAGATAGACAGATGAGAGAGAGAGAGAGAGAGAGATAGATCGATAGATATATGGATAGATAGATAGATAGATAGATAGATGGATAGATGGATAGATGGATAGATGGATAGATAGGATAGATAGGATAGATAGGATAGATAGGATAGATAGGATAGATAGGATAGATAGGATAGATAGGATAGATAGGATGGATAGATAGGATAGATAGGATAGATAAGATAGGATAGATAGGATAGATAGGATAGATAGGATAGATAGGATAGATAGGATAGATAGGATAGATAGGATAGATAGGATAGATAGGATAGATAGGATAGATAGGATAGATAGGATAGATAGGATAGATAGGATAGAAGGATAGATAGGATAGAAGGATAGATAGGATAGATAGGATAGATAGGATAGATAGGATAGATAGGATAGATAGGATAGATAGGATAGATAGGATAGATAGGATAGATAGGGTAGATAGGATAGATTAGGATAGATAAGGTAGAGAGGATAGATAAGTAAGATAGATAGATAGATAGATAGGATAGATAAGATAGATAGGATAGATAGGATAGATAGGATAGATAGGATAGATAGGATAGATAGGATAGATAGGATAGATAGGATAGATAGGATCGATAGGATCGATAGGATCGATAGGATCGATAGGATCGATAGGATCGATAGGATCGATAGGATCGATAGGATCGATAGGATCGAAAGGATCGATGGGATGGATAGGATCGATAGGATCGATAGGATCGATAGGATCGATAGGATCGATAGGATCGATAGGATCGATAGGATCGATAGGATCGATAGGATCGATAGGATCGATAGGATCGATAGGATCGATAGGATCGATAGGATCGATAGGATCGATAGGATCGATAGGATAGATAGGATAGATAGGATAGATAGGATCGATAGGATCGATAGGATCGATAGGATCGATAGGATCGATAGGATCGATAGGATCGATAGGATCGATAGGATCGATAGGATCGATAGGATAGATAGGATAGATAGGATAGATAGGATAGATAGGATAGATAGGATAGATAGGATAGATAGGATCGATAGGATCGATAGGATCGATAGGATAAATAGAATAAAAAGGATAGATAGGATAGATAGGAGAGATAGGAAAGATAGGATAGATAGGATAGATAGGATAGATAGGATAGATAGGATAGATAGGATAGATAGGATAGATAGGATAGATAGGATAGATAGGATAGATAGGATAGATAGGATAGATAGGATAGATAGGATGGATAGGATAGATAGGATAGATAGGATGGATAGGATAGATAGGATAGATAGGATAGATAGGATAGATAGGATAGATAGGATAGAT